AATATAATATGTATATATATGACTAAAGAATCGATATACTTGACATTTTTATATTTTTTGAGCCATTTAAGAAAGGATAAAAGAAATCATAAGGCAATGTAATATCTAAATTAGACCCACCGGCAAAGTGGTATGTAAACGGTTTTGAAATGTCATAAAAATTGACATAAGAAATAACATTGATATGAAGGATGTCTGTGCAATTTTTTAATGTGCATTTTGGCCAGCTAACATCCTCTTCCGTGTTGAATGTTATTCCAACGCTTAATATTTCATAATTTGTCAAAGATGTTTTAGGTTTCGACAATATTGAATAAAGAATATTCAAATGCATAGATGTAATTAATCCTGAACATAATATTTGTTTTCCAATCGTGTGCGCAGTCACGATGTTTCGTGGTATCCTGTCGAATACGATTTGCAACCAATCATCAACATTTTTACTAGAAAAATTACCCAATTTTGAAACATAAGAGTTATAATATTGATTCATGTTTAAAAAAAAATCCTTCAACAAAAGACGCATCGTCAAATTTTGTAACTCTGCACAAGATGTAGTGAAATTCTCGATAAACAATTTGACAGAACATGCCAATCTAATATCTTCGCCAAATATGATCGTATGTCTGTTAATTTTATCACACTCTCCATTTTTTCCAGCCAAAGGTAACGTGAGAAACCCATTAGTTCTGTTGAAAAGAATATCATTGCTTGCATTAGCGTGAGAAATGCCAATAATGATCGGCTTACCCATCATATAACCAGGATTACCACTACGAGCAAAAACTTTTGTTTTATTTGAATCTATCCAATAATATTCTATCTCGAAATATTGATAAAATGCGTGAAATGCATTTCCTATATTAAAATATGCGTCAATACTATGAATACCAGCGGAACCATTATGTCCAATTATGTACTTTAAACCCTTGACGATGTTGGTACACGTAGAATTCATGCAAAATCCTGATACGCTGGTTCTATTGCATACAGAAAACGACTTCAGGCAATAATGAGTTCTTATTGGCAAACAAGTATTATCTAGACATGTCTAAAAACAATTTTTAGAATTAAATTCAACAATAAATGTATAGAAATAAAAGAATAACGCATGTAAAAAAGGAGAAAAAAATGGGAAAATATGAAATATCTAATTCAAAAGTTTAATTTTTAATAGAACTTATATAAACATTATTTTACAGTATTATTATATATATCTTTGTAATAATAATATCATAATAGTATATGATATAAAATATCAATATCTTATATATTCCACACAACACATTTTATCATGTGGATATCCTAAAAATTATTTCATGTTCCAAAATATAATCTCAGGAAAATGCAATAATTATTTATATTAATTCCGCGATATTCAAATAGGATAGCTTATAAATATCCTCAAAATGTTCCAAATGCTTTTCAATGTACAACATTGCTTTTGCACTTACTAGATAGCGTGATTATAACTCGTAATTATAATAAACATTTGGATTGGATTTAAATGTACTTGTGAAACACACTGAGAAGAGTATGTTATTGAAATTGGCACAACTTTATGATATTCTATGTACTATTTTTTAGAAAAAATAAGTTTAAACAATGTTAGTGTTATTTTTTAATATTTTTTGACGGACACATCTAATGCCATTTTTTTATATTTCCGTAAGGTAATTTTATATTTATATCACATCTCTTTTTAATAAACTGAACAAATATACTGTCACTGTTTTGCGTGAGACAAGGGGGTGACATTTTAAAACATGAGGACATTCTAAAATAACAGAATATCTTTCAAATAAATTGTGCTATGTGGATATAATATCAATATTTTTATATGTAGTATTTAAAAAATATAAAATTTGCAATATTTTAATAATTAATAAGATAACTGATATTAACATTATAGTTGTATTACATTTAGGTATCTTTTATTTGTAATGAAAAAAATTTTATATTATATATAAATTTGTTTCATTTATAAAATTAATACAAGATAACTCGGAACAACTTTATTCTTCAAAAGAAATATTCTTGACTCAAATTTGAGATCAAATTTTTATTTTATGTCCGAAATGTCCGAAGTTTGGTTTTTGATTTATGAAAAGAATTACAATTTGGAAATAGGAGATAAGCAATAGACAGTACAATTTATAAGGCACTTGTTGTCACACAATTGATGGCTATGAATCGCATCGCTTTTTTCTATCTTTCAAATCTAATCAATAATACATAAATTATTTCTTTTGAAGAATAGTAATTTAAACTAGTAATTTAAACTTAACCAATACCGAAAAATATTTATTAAATGTCATATTTCTATACAAATTTGTAAATTGATTACCTGTTTTGTAGTAAATGTATTGTTGAATAACAGCAGAGATTTTATAATTGTAAAATTATTGAATGTCGTAGTGAATAAATACGGATTATTATTTGTTAGATCATTTTGAATACATCTATCTTTCCAATTTTCCAAATATTTCAGAATTTTTTTGAACGAGCATATTCCAGTAAATCCAGATTGTAAAAACTCTGAAACATATTATCAATTATTTCTAAATAAATAGTAATAAATGTTACAAATTTAAAAGGATTATATTTTATTATTATTATCATCAAAAATTATGTAATATTATTATTATATAATATATATATATATACATATATATATATATATATATATATATGTTAATATTAAAACACGCACGCACGTACGCATGTCTTCATTTATTTACCCTATTGTATCAACAGATTTGTCATGTAATTTCAATAATGTATCTCCATGTTGGTAATATTTTAAAGAAATTAAATTTTGATAATACTTTCCTATGTTTCATGTTCCATTTGTAATTCTTCATTTGTAGCATTTTCCACAGATATTTTTGGTCATATAATGCCTAAAATAAATAATTTATTAGTTAAAAGTAACAGACTAATATAAAATTTCAAAACAATTTCATTAGAAAAATTGTATCTAACAATCCGGATAGTACATATTCGTAAATGGTTTACAACTGTACTTTTAAAAAAACTTATAAAACATTAGATACGTTTAGGAGATGTATATGAAATTAATATGTGCTGTCTGGGAATATTATAGTATGTGATAAAAAATGTAATGTAATAAAAAAAAAGCTATTGGGAACAATTATAACAGATAGATATAGATCCATATGTAATATCTATTCTATGAAGAAAGATATGTAATATCTTTCTAATTCATACAACTTCCACATCATGCAACATTTCTATCTTCAAGGTAGAAATCAGATAGACCTCTAATGAAAATCTATCTTATCCTCATGATGAATCTCCATTGAACTTTCATTAGAACTTTCGTTAATCTGTGTAAATGTCTTATGGATGGTTTATACTTGACACTTTTCGAAAAATTGCTTGACACAAAAGTTTCATGGTTTTTCGCACAGATAGAATCTGAATCCGCAATAAAAAAAAAATACATGTTCCATTAAAAAAAATCAACTTCCGTTTGAACAGCCCATTTCCATTAATAAAAACCAGAAGTTAAAAATGCCACCATTTGATAGTGCACCCGATTTATTTATTAAAATTTTTTGGATTTTTTTATAAAAACCATTTAGCTCGGTCTCAAACTAAAAATGAAAATAAGAAAAACAATTTCCAAACTTCTTTAGTTTGACAAGTGTCATGAACGTCACGACTCCGAACATTTAAAAAATTTTGACCATCAGTTGAATATTTTAGATAACGTTAATGTCGACGGTACTATAACTTTCAAAACTTATAACTCGAAAAGTATTTAATGAAAAATAACTTTATTGTAGGATTTTGGAAAGCTGTCGACATCAGCTATTAGATTTTGAAATAAAAAATGGGATGTTCCGTTTAAAAAAATTGATGTGACTTTGACTTGACCTTGGTGACGCCACCCAAGGTCAAACTGATAAGATCAGTAAATATATCTTTTCGAACTCTACGACTTTTGTCCGAACACTTTTACGATTGAACCTTTTCCTGCAAAGATAAAAGGGTGGTATGGGTGGTCTGAAACACCCGGTATATAAATGTTTCTATAACAACTTTATTACACATAATTACTAATTTACTTACCAAATCATTTTTAGCATTATACATATATGGCAGATTATCATATAAAATGCAAAATAAATTATTTGCGAGTCTTTCAAAAATAAAAGGTGTATTATTTCGTTGTATGAAATTTCGGTTGTAACAGTACCGACTATCGTAAAGATCCACATGATAATCTTGACAATGTGAAAAGGCAGATAAATGAAAATGATTGCAATCCATGTCACAGCAGCAATTGATGTCACAAGAAAACTTCTGTACAAAACAAAAAATTGTATATGTAAGATATAATATGTATTTATAATTACATAATATTTTTATATGTATGAGAAGAATTCCAGAAGTGTTTATCGTAATGCAAAAGTAATATTTCGCGAACCAATAGTGAAATTGTAATATTTTGTTAAGTATTTTGAAAAAAAGTGAATAAATAAGTGACTAGAAGAATCTTCTTTTGGTTTTAATTAATGTTGCAAAATGTCTATATTTCTTTCCACACTAATTGTGATGATGCAGTACAGGATAAGTATTATTATTATTATACATATTTTTAAAACATTATTATTGTTATAATTTTTCAATTAAATTTCTTTTTCTTTTTCTTTTCCTTTTCCTTTTTTTATTTATCAAAATTCAAAATTTATAAAAAACAATTAAAACTAATTTTTTTTATTTCACTTCTTTTAAAATTCCTCCCATAACAATTTCTATTGATTCCGTCATGTTTTTCCAAATATTGTTTTGATTGATAAAAAGGAATATGCACCAGATTTCTAAGAATTCTAGCAAGATTCAATAATAACACAACCATAAAAATTAGATTAGGTCAAGTTACATTAGATTAGGTCATATCTTATGGTAACTTACTCTTATATATCTTATCAATAGATGCTAGTTTACGCTATGTCGATTATGAGAAAAATAGAAAGGAGAGAAAAATATAAAATTTAAAATATAATGTTGCTTTAGGAAACTACAAATATGTAAAATGCCTAATATTATCAATAATGTACTCAATAACATCTTAAACTATGCAACTTTCAAAAGAAAATCATAAGAATTTTATTTTCATTTGTAAAATTTGTAAAATAGTTTTTTTCTTATTTCTTTAATCATCAAACGAACAAATCATTTTTAGTCAGTATTAATAAAATATAATTTTTAATTTTTGAGAAATACGTAGCTCTTTTTGGGAAATCTATGTCATCGGCGACGTTTCTCTCTAGTTTTTGTAAATATAAAAGAAAAATATTTGCACGTACTGTCAGATCACACTCACAGATTTCTTTTTTTTTGAGTATGAGAATTTTATTATCATTTCGATGTGTAGCGGATGAGGATATTGTCCTTAAAGTCGATTGTATTTCAGGTTCTGTTTCATTAGCATCTATATTTGAAGATATCTCTGTAGAAATGGCAGTGATGAACATATTATCTTGTTCCGTATCGTTTGAAATTTGTAAAGATGGATCTTCAACTTTGGGAATGTTTGTATACGTATTGTCTAAGTCTATCGCTTCACTACAATCTGTATCATTTATACAAATTGATATATCCTCAATTTTTGTTATTTCTGCTATATTTGTATATATTAGAAATAGTAGCACAGATAGAAACATTATTACAAAATAATGTTATTTAAATATTATATTAATAAATATTTGTTCAAAGCTAGTTCAAAGTTTCTTTGCATATCTTTTAGAAATACATTGCTTTTATTTCCACTGTTTTTATAACCGCCTTTATAATTTATAACTGACATCCAAATTTGTCAAAATTCTTTGTCAAAATATCTAAATAAAGAGTCACTGTTCCCATACTTTGCGTCGTTATTTCAAATCTGTCTAATGTATCGATTAAAACATTAGGTGACATTAACTGTAAACTTTTTCCTAAAAATTTATCATATAATCTATCTTTCCAAGTACCTATAAAGAAGTTTCCTACGTTAATAATATATTAGCTTACAGAATTAAAAAATTTTATATATTTAAATTTTACATACCAATAGGTTTCCACGTATGACAATTTAAAATATATGAACCAGATGACAATGGAACATTGTATACTCCATATGAAAGAAATATTATCCTTCTGTAATTATCTCTGTGAAAGACTTGTAATAATAACTTGGGCGAATTTTGTAAAGTCTGAGTTGTATAATGCAAATCTATAGGATAATCCCAAACTGGATTATTAGTATAAAAATCACAACTTTCTTGCGTTTGCCCTCTTTCGTATCCTGAAATTATTTTCCAACCATTACCTACATAACAATAAAAACTTATTAGCATATAACAAATCCATTTCATTTGTATAATATTACGGGTTTATTTTCCCTACCAACATAGACATGCCATTTGCAGAGTAGATATGATGGTTTAAAATTTTTTGCGGATGAAACTTGTCCAATTATATGTAATTCGGCCATCCCATATTATAAGATATTCCAAATATAATAGTAATTTAGAATATATACAGAGTGTAAAAAAGTTACGGTTAAATTTTGGAGGCACATTCCATATACCTAGAGAAGGACAACATATTATTCATGTAATTTATGCTCATAATAGAAATATTTTTCTGATAATTTATTTTAAAAACATTGTAAATCATCAGTAAACACAAACATTTCAAGACTATTCATTATAGCTTTGAAGTTTACATTTGTATTAATTTTATTAATTAAAATCTATAAAAATAGATACATTAAGAAATGTAAAAAAGCGTACATCAAAATAGAAAGGTTATGATCTTCCGAAGTACAAGTCTTATAACAAAAGTTTAAAATATCCACGCAAATATAAACTTCAATTTATCTTAGTATTGATGCGCTTATATGTCTTTTAAATATATGGATTATCTCACAATTTTCCACAAGCTTGCAAATTGTATGCGATTGTTGATAATTTATTGGTATTTTCTAAATAAGTTTAAGTAAGAAAACAACGGACTTGTGTTTATATAATAAGTTTTTATTCCCTAAATCTGAAGAATGTGACTCCAAAATTTGGCTGCACATTTTAGTTATACCTTGTATATACATGATGCTATCCTATAAATGGCTAACCCTTTTTATTTCATAAACTAAACAAGATAGAGTTAAAGAGTTTGTAGTGTCCTTTGAGTAATTAATTAAAATTATTAATAAAATTTATGAATAATTTATAAATAATTTATAAATAATCTAAACCGCATACGTTTTTTTCTTCATTTAAACAAGACTGTCATACATGGCATTAAATAGTAGACAGGATGCGTGTGTAAAAAGATAAAGAGCAAGTTAAACTGAGATTAAGATAACTTTATATTGATGGAATTGGACATAAATGACATGATTAAAAATATATTTTTAGATTTGAAATTATAAAAAAAAAATACATAGAAAAATTATTAAAATTTACTCACTTTAATTTTTTTTATATGGTTACACACACACACACACACACACACACACACAAAATAAATATATATGTATATATAATTAAAATAAATATATCCATATATATTTATGTATATATAATGATAAGAATTTTTTATTTAGCAAAATACAATTAATAAAATTTATGGTAATTATTTAGAATACGGTCTTTATCTCCGATTTCGATAAAATTGGGCTCAATCAGCGCGATTTCACTCAAAATAAAAAAATCTGGCAGAAAAACGCGGCGGTCTGCCTCACAAACGAGATATTAAGCATTGAAGTTGACCATTTTTTTGATTAGGAAATCTGTCAGATATAATGCAGCGAATTGCGTTGTGACTCTGTATACATGAGAGGAAGTTCGGGAGGCTTTGTCCCCCGAATGGAGATCGAGGGGACGAAGCTCCCTCATTAGGGGGGGCGAAGCCTCCTCACTGTTATAAAACAAATTATAAAAACAATACAAGATTAGATTTGTAACAAAATGAAAAGATCAGCGAAAGCTTCACACCCAATTCTTAAGTTTTTGCCAATTTTTCTAGGATCTATCATTTTAGTATATAATAGACTCATCAATTTAGTAAGGCGAAAGATTATATGCTTGATGCAATCTCTCCTGTCATGCTCCAAGAGGATTATTTGTATATTTGTCAATGGCGTTGGAGGCTGTCGCCGTTGCAAGTCCGACCTCCATCCATCGAGTGAGAGACCAACGTCGCTCTGGAGTACCGGTCGTGAGGATCCGAGAGAATACATGTATATATGTATATATGTGTATTATTGTGTCGTTGACGTGTTATTCTAAACACGTTATTTGCGATAAATATCATCACATGCCTCGGTAGTCGAAAGGATAAGATGCCTGCCCTGTAAGCAGGAGATCCAGGTTTGATTCCTGGCTGAAGTGGTATTTTTTCGCAAAATAATTACGAGTTTTCACGACTGGTTCGTGATCGGGTCCCGCCGTGACGCACACTCTCGCTTCTTATTTGGCTCATCATCTCCAACCTTGCGTAGGAATCTTTGCCAAGCTTTCTAGGATCTATTTTAGTATATGATAGACTCATCAATTTAGTAAAGCGAAAGATTGCATCTTGCATCTCGAATGTAATAACACTTTTAGCACTTTTATTTTTAACACTGTATCGCTTTTTAGCGCTGTATCGAGTCGCTATGACAGATTTTCTAACCAAAAAAGTAATCAATTTTAACGCTTAATATCTCGATTCGTGAGGGAGACCGCCGCGTTTTTTTGCCAGATTTTTTTAGTTTGAGCGAAACCGTATCGATCGAGTCTAATTTTATCAAAATCGGAGGTGAAAATCGTATTCTAAATAATTACCAAATTTATTACTATTACGTACAATTTCAAAATAAATTGTTTAAAATCCTTTTCACAATTGATAATGATTACTGACTGATAGATTAATGTTGATGGACGTGTTGCTATGACAACAAGCAAATATTAATCGGAGTATGGACACTCTCATATAAAAAGTTGAATTGTATTTTTGTGCCATCTGAGAGTTAATTATGTAATTTTATGTGAAATTGTTTACTTTAAATTTTATTTTTATTTTTTCACGTATTGATATTTTATGTGAAATTTTACTCGCTGCTCCCTACTTCGATTCGCGATCGCAGTTTAAGGTCAATTCGAGTGTCAATTCAAAAGTGTCGATAAATGTTCAGTTTAGGTCTCCCACCTCCGATTTTGATAAAAATAAGCTCATTTAACGCGTTTTTGCATAAAACGAAAGAATCTGGTATAAAAAACGTTACTCTGTCCTGCGAAACGAGATATTAATCGTTTACGTTTGTGTTATTCAGTGTTAGAAAATCTGTCATATCAACGAAATGTATCGACATGGGCATGCGCCGTGACCACATGCCATGCATTTCAGGCGCTCGTGCAATATTAAAGCGGTTTTTCAAATTTTTGTAAAATAGTATAATTATAAATTTTGTTTTAAAACAAAAGCTGTAATTGTTCGATTCCACATGGGTTTACGACTTTCCACATAAAGTGAATTTCCACAAAGATTTTGCGATGTCCACTCTCCCTTCTTCATGCTAAGAAGCAAAATGAGATTTATAATTGTTCGATTTCACAGAAGTTTACGACTTTCTACATAAAGTGAATTTTCACAAGAATTTTACGATAGAGAGAATTTCGTAACATTAGGACATAGCACGAATGGGAACCACGCAATCGTGGATATTATCTACAGTATTATGAATATTGGCTACATTTAATGGGGTGAGGTCCAATCGGACACATTGCCGATTGATCGATTAAATAAAAAAATTTTTGATAGGTGGCTCACTAGAAAATTCCTAGGCATCGGCTGATGTGAGTGGTGTGTCCGATTGAAAATATGCGCATCTGAGACGCTATCGTTTAATGTCCACGTTTTTATGGACATAAAGGCGCTTCAAAATAAAGTTTACAGCTAAATCGCGGGCATGTCCGCTCTCAGGCTTCTCTCTGGTTAAAGACAGTCGGTCATAGGTAAATTTTCGTGACTGCTAAGCGGATCCGGGGATAATTGAAAAATAATGATATTACTGTTTTGACTACTGAGGATAACTGAGGGAGCATAACGTTTATTTATTATTATTATTATTATTATAATGGATTTAATTTTAAATTAATAGTTTGTAAAAGGAAATATTAATTTCACGTTTATATAATAACGCATCTATTTATGTTCGCGGACGTTTTTCATTTATTGTCAAATTTTATTTATTGCAGAAGTATCGATGAACATTAATATTAGTATATACATT